TCTCGGAGCCGACGTGGAAAGTACTTTCTACATCGTCTCAGCTATAACCGAGCGTTAAATAACGACGTAGAAAATATATTTTGTAGTAGTGTAGTAATCATTCGGACCATCAGGGAATTTACCTAAAACATGTTCAAACCATATTAGCATCTTCAAAAACCAATCAGAATTCATCTTAATCATTAATTAATGAAAATAAAACATAAATCTCTTATTTTTGTATATATTAGAGCCCATTAGGTAATTTTGTTTTTAAAGTTAATAAAAGATATATAATAACATAATTATAATATTTTATTTATATTTTAATAAATAGGAGAATGATTGATATTTACAATTAAGTTAATTTAATTTGTTGATTTAGAAGGCAATATTAATTGAACCACGGATTAAAAAATAAATAAAAACAAAAAAATAGTAGGAATTAGGAAAAATAGTTTCGCATGTGCCCACGCGGGTTTCATACTTAAATCTTAATAAAAAGTTATGCATTTTATTTTAAGAAATATTATTAAATTACCATGAATGAAATCTTAAATTTTTATATAATTTTAATTTTTCATTCCAAAATTTAAATCTTTGTACTAAATAGATACATAAAATATTTTTAAATTTCCAAAATATTAAACGTATTTGTATTAAATACTTTGTTAATAAATAATGGAAATGTGTGAGAAGATTTTAAAATATAATGTTTATATATATATATATATATATATATATATATATATATATATATATATATATATATATATGATGTTGTTTAGTATAAAAAATATGAAATTGTCATACCTGAAGAAACCATTGACTTTTGGGTTTTGCGAGAAACCGGATTCAAATATGAAGAAAGAGGGTAACCTCATGGATAAAAAAAAAAAAACTACACGTGAATCAGGTGTCTCATTAGTTTTTATTTTTGGTACATTCCAATTTGTATATTAAAAAAATATACAATATAATACTTTTATTAGTATTTTTTTTCCTTAAATGAAACAGGTCACATTATTACTTTATTTAATTTTTTCTAAAGTGAGTGTAAAACTTGAAATAATTTGTGAAATTCTAAAGCCATAAACATTTGTCCCAAGATACGTGAGAAAGCACATGGCACGTAGTCACAACCCATAAAGATGTATAAAAGGCATCTTTTAATGTCGTTACATTTAATGTGATTGTATTATAACAAATTCAAAATAAATATTAATAATTAAAAATAGTAATTTGAATGCCTTTTACACATCTTTTCACCTTTATTGGTTGTGACTACGTGCCATGTGCTTCCTCATGTTTCCTGGGACAAATGTTTATGGCTTTAGAATTTCACAAATTGCATTTTTACACTTTATTTTATCAACCAATTATTTCAAGTTTTACCCTCACTTTAAAAAAAAATAAAGTAATAAAAATAAAAATAAGAATAAAAACGTGTATCCAGATAACTATAAAAAATTGATTCCGACTTGAAAAAAATAAATAATAAAATAATAATAATAATTATAATGTATGGTTTTACCTTCAATATGAAATTAGAATCAACATCTTTAAACCTAGAGTTTTTAAATTTAGAGCTTATAAAATTAAAACACATTTAAAAATTATTAAAATAATATGTTAGAATATAATTATTACTAAATTAGGAAAGACAATCGAATTTTTTTGAGTCTAGATAGAGAGTGAAGGGAAGGAGGTACTTGTAAAAAATTCATCGATGTTTAAGTTAATGTATAAAAAAATAAATTAGAAAATGAATAGGATAATAAAATGAGTTAGTATGCGCAGTATGCAAATGTGTTACAATTGAGGTTGAATAAGTTGATATTTTTATTCTATTAATCTATTTTGATTTGTCTTATCAAATTCACTAATTTCTTGGATTAATTTATGGGTGAGTGGGTTAATCCATAACCTATTTAATTGATAATTTTTTTTATTATAATATAATCAATTATCAAAACAATATGTAAAAATTTGTGTAAAAATAATTTAAAAAGTTTTATTCTTTTTTGATTAAATAGGTAATTTAGTTCCTTATTTTTTTTAAATGTTTCAATATGGTCCTAAAATTTTTAATTTAGACATGAATATTGAAATTGATGTCAACTTTGTACTACAGTTATTTATGTTTTGACTCTGTTATATAAGATGTCTAGTTGGAGTATCAATTTTGATGTGGTTAGGTGATTTGTTATAGTTACGTGGAAAATTTGCCACGACACATTAAAATTGCAAGAAGAAAGGAATAGGGGCCGCGAATATGTTTAGGATATGAACAATTGAGAGTTTGTGCAAATAAATTAGGGTTTACGCCATAACACTTACTTTCTTCGTTTGACTCCTTCTTTGTCTTCTCGTCAATGATGATCGCTTATCACCGCTCCTCTCTTGTCATTGTCGTTCCTTCGTCGTCGCAATGGATTGCAGATAGTTCCTCCCGTGTGCTCGACTTTGCCATTGTCGCAGATCCCTCTTCCCTCGTCGTTGGAAATAACTCGCTCGCTCAATGTCATTGTCGCAAACCCTAAATGGAACTAACTTCCTTCTCCTTCGTCACAGTTAATCTCACACACGACGACGATTGAAACCATAAACCCCCACTGTTGTCATAAATGGAACTCCCATCTCCCCTGTCGTTGCAGATCCTCTCACTTTCCCTCACCTATTTGCACAAATTCTCAATTGTTCAAACTCTAAATACATCTGCGACCATATTCCTTTCTTCCTGCAATCTTAATATGACGTGACAAATCTATCACGTAACTATAACCAATCACTTAACCAATAATAACTGATACTCAACTAGACATCTAATATAACAGAGTAAAAAACATACACAACAATAGTCCAACATTGACATAAATTTCAATATTTATGTTTAAATTAAAAAATTTGGGACCACATTGAAACATTTAAAAAAATAAAGGAACTAAATTACTTATTTAACCTTCTTCCTCACTAGTGGAAATATTTTCTTTTCTCAAGCACAAACTCTCCTCTTTCATCTCCTCTTTACTCACCTTGTTTATTTTGATTTTTCATATTCTCCTGACTTAAATAATATGAGAATTACTCTAGAAAAGAACAAATTGAAGTTTTGTTTTGTTATTATTTATTATTGTATAAATTTTATCTTAATTTGATTATTTTAAATTATAATTTATTAATCCAACGTGTCAATTTATATTATTAACTTGAAATATATAATTAAATTATTGATAAAGAAATGATAATTTTATTATTAAATTTAGTTAAAATTTTAATATAAAAAAATAAAAAAATAAATTAATTTTAAAAAAATTTATAACAGATGAATCTGCCAACCTATTTTTTAATAAAATAGGTCAATATCTAGAACCTATTATGATTATAAGGGTAGTCTTTGATAATTATAACAAGACAATCACATTTTATACATATAAATTAAAATGGGACGAATTAATCCATTTTTTCAATCTTTAAAAATAATAATAGATTAATATAAATAAAAATACTAAAATTATTTATATATATAAAGTTAGAAGTATAACTGTCGGAAATCTATAAAATATTTTATTATTATATTATTAAGCGTATGTTAAATATTTTGAAGTAATTTTTAAATATTCTGTCAATATATCTTATTTAAATATTTTGACAATTATAATTTTTAAAGCAGTAGATATAAATAATAATTTAGTACGAATATTTCAGAAGAAAAATTGAAAAAAAATGTGATGAATGTGAAATTTTTTGATGGAAGGTGTAGCGGTAAGAAGTACATCTAACTACCGTTACAGAAAAAAAACATAAAAACAAAACGTATTCAACTACCAATGGCCACACATCAATTTAAGATGTGTCAGATACACCACACAACACTGTTATCATCTATTTTGCCCATTATTATCACACTGCACCATAATAAAAATGAAAAAATAAAAATAACTATGTGATAATATTTTACCTTAATATTTATTCATATTTTTATATTATGAATTTTTTAAAATAACTCCTTTTTAAATTTTATTTTGTTTATTTTTACATTATTTTCATATTTTTACTTTTAATATACACATATTTTTCCTTCTTTATATATTATATTTTCCTTTTCTTCTCTTGTTTAAATATACAATAATATAATAATTATATTTTATATTATTTTTTCCTAGTAAGTGATATAATAAAAATAATTATACTTTTGGTCCTTCTATTCATGAATTATTACCATTCATGAATTATTTTTTCCTAAAGATAGTATTATTTTATAAATAATGATATTAAAAGTGATTAAATTTTTTATATAATAATATAGATAATAATAGTAAAAAATATTTATATTTACAATTTTTTTGGTCCTTCCATTCATGAATTATTACTATTGTATACATTTAAAATAATTTAAAATATATTTACTTTCATCTTAATTTAAAAAAACTTAAAATATTAATTTAAAAAATATATTTAAATAAATATAAAATAATTACAACAAATATGTAATTTTTAGTGTGTGTAAGAAAAAAAGAAGAAGATAATATTTCAGGATTTGAAATTGAATTTAAATAAATACTGAAGAACAAGGAATTAGATACTCATTACGAATCTGAAACTCAGATATTCATGCTGAGGAAAACCAGAATAGAGATTTGGTTAAACAGTAACTCCTGCATGTCTATCTATTTTCATGTTCCTTTTGCGTCGCCTCCTTTGGATCTTCTCCACTTGCTCTCACAACTTTCCATTAAAGATTCATCCATTTTCATGTATTTTCAAGTGGATTATTATGAACAACATAATTCTTTAATTTAATAATATCCTTACCTATCTATCTATCACATTCTCTATTCTTTTAGTCCTATGAATTTTAAACAACCATTTGGTAGAAAAAGAACATTTTTATGGAGGAAAAAAGTGGTGGACAACATTGATTTTGGTGATTCTATAAATACCGAAGATAAGATGTAGCTAGCTACGAAGCACACATTATACACAATTTTTGTTTTGCTACCTACTTTGACACCTCTTGAATGGCTTCTTCTAGCTTTGAAAGTTCTCGCATGGCGTCCAACTACAAAAGCCACAACAATGGGATGTTCCATCCACCTACCCAGGTGGTGGTTGTGGTGGTCCCTTTCCCTGCGCAGGGCCACCTCAACCAGCTCCTCCACCTCTCTCGCCTCATCTTGGCTCACAACATCCCTCTCCACTTCGTTGGCTCTCCCACCCACAACCGCCAAGCCATAGTTCGTGCTCAAGGTTGGGATCCAAACTCCAGTTCCCACATTCACTTTCATGACTTCAATGTTCCTCCTTTTCTCTCACCTCCCCCGAACCCCAATGCCCCAACAAAATTCCCCTCCCATCTTCTTCCCTCCTTTAAGGCCTCCACGAGCCTCCGTGGACCTGTTTTTGCACTCCTGCAATCGCTCTCACTTGTGGCCAAAAGGGTCGTTGTCATCTACGACTCCCTCATGGCTTCTGTGGTGCAAGATGCCATCCATGTCTCCAACTGCGAGACCTACACTTTCCATAGCGTCTCGGCCTTCACCATGTTCTTGTACTTTTGGGACGTAATGGGGAGGCCTCCGGTTAAGAAGATGGCCCAAATCGTGCCGGAAGTCCCCTCCCTTGAAGGGTGCTTCACCACCCAATTCCTTGATTTCATCAGCTCACAGTATGTGTTTCACAAGTTCAGCAAAGGGACCATATACAACACCACAAGGGCGATTGAGGGGCCTTACATGGAGCTGATAGAGAGGATCATGAGTAGCAAGACCCATTGGGCCTTGGGGCCCTTCAACCCCTTGTCCATTGAAAAGGGTGAAAAAAGGCAGCACTTTTCCATTGAGTGGCTTGACAGGCAAGAGGCAAGGTCAGTGATGTATGTGTCCTTTGGGACAACAACATGCTTCTCCCAGGACCAAATCAAGGAGGTTGCAAGTGGGTTGGAGAAGAGCAAGCAAAAGTTCATTTGGGTTGTGAGGGATGCTGACAAGGGAGATGTTTTCAAAGGGTCCAGTTCTGAGCTTGTTCTCCCAAAGGGGTTTGAAGAGAGAGTGAAAGACATTGGGTTGGTGGTGAGAGAGTGGGCACCCCAATTGGAGATCCTTAGCCACACTTCAACTGGGGGGTTCATGAGTCACTGTGGATGGAACTCTTGCATGGAGAGCATCTCCATGGGAGTGCCAATAGCAGCATGGCCTATGCACTCTGACCAGCCAAGGAATAGAGTTTTGGTGACTGAAGTGCTCAAGGTTGGGGTGATGGTGAAAGATTGGGACCACAGGGCTGAGTTGGTGACAGCATCGGATGTTGAGAATGCCGTGAAGAAACTGATGGCAACCAAAGAGGGTGATGAGATGAGACAAAGGGCCATGAACCTCAAAAATCTCATTTTCAAATCCAGGGATGAAGGTGGAGTTTCTCGGGTGGAATTGGATGATTTCATTGCTCACGTCACTCGATAGTACTCTCATAATCATAATTATTATTTATAAATATAGTGGGAGAGTGGATAAGAGCATTCACAACATATCAAGTTAATGCAAAGATAAGATTGTTACCTTTATATTTCATACCTTTTGCTTTTCTCGTGTCAATATTTATACCCACACTCAGCTTAATTTCATGTATAAAATATTAGCACACCTTACAAGTGGAAAGTGAGAGTTTGAAAAATGGGTTGTCGTGTATTTATTATAAGTTATTGTTTTTAGTTTATTTTAATAAACTTTCTTATACACTTGACTTGGGTTACTTAAAAAATGAAATTGGGTGATAAAAAACTTACTTAATCAATATTAGTTATTCACCAAATTGTTTCATATTCATATATACTTTATATTATGTTTAAGATTAAGACTTCATTAAAAGTTGAATATTACCTAATTATATATTTAAAAAATACATATAAAGAAGTTGACTTTGTAGTAGAAACCACGTGAAATACATGAATTGTTTCACGTACTAACATTGCTCACGTGAACACAGCTACTAGGTTTTGGTGTGACCAATACAACATACAAAACTGTCCTTCATAATGAAATATATTCAGATGAAAAAAAAATATATAAGTTCATATATACTAAACTCGAGTAATGTATCTTAGGTCTTATCATCAAATTTCATTATTTTCTATTTCGCTACTCTGACTTTTTTTTCAGCAAGAGGTGCAGAAAAAAGAACTACCTTCTGAAGAATAAACAAAAAATGTTGAGCCTCGAATAAACTGAGTTATGATTTATTAAGTTATTTTGACCCATTAACAATTTATTTCAATAACGGATGAATAATTCATATATGAATAGTTTATATTTTTTACGGAATAAGATGGATGTTCAAATATTTTTATTATGACAATGGATTGAATGTTACATTTAATAGAGTATATAAATATTATCACCAATACTTTGAAATTATATTGAAATATAAAATCTAAAATCTAAAATGTAAAAATTACATTTTAGATTATACTTTTCAAAATAAAAGAAAACGTGCCTCAGTATTTTTATGATATAAAAAAATATATTTACTACAATACAGATTGAGTTTATATTATTAACTGGCTAATTAGATCATAGACTCATTATCACTTAAATATATTCACTCTACGCATTGACTTAACCTTCTTTGAGGTATACTTTTTTGTTTTTGTTTTACTGTGCCACTTTATATCCTTGTGAAGATACGTAAACTGGTGGATAACCCAGAATCGTGAGTTAATAACCTTGGATCCAAAATCTTTATATGACATCAATACTCGCAATTATGTGCTCATATCCTACACTAAGTCAAGTGTTTAATTCATTCTCTATAATGAGGTTTTAGAAATATGTTCCTACAACTTTCAATAATGCAACCTTTTTGAAGATGATTACAAACATCCACAAATTAGTTGCCGTCGACATACAAGAACTATAATTTTTAAAATTGTATTGATACCACATAAAACCTTTTAATTCAAAAATATCATATAAAAAAAATCAGAAAAGTTATTCGAACTTCGAAATTACATCGGAATCAACTTTCAGGTAAAGCCAAAATATTGATGTGTGCATCAAATGAAACCATATATTCAGAATCATGAAAAGTGTAGCAATAAATTCACAAGCTTTCATAAAGACTTATCCAGTTTTCACATGGGTGAAATACCTTACCTTCCAAGTAAACAATATAAATTCTTTACGAAAATTCAGTTTTCTTTTTTTCTTTGAAAAAAATAAGAATCTTTATCCTAAAATATCACCATCACAGGAATATAAAAAGACATTTGGGGCATAAACAGACAAAGTTTCCAACGTGTTCATGGATGAGTAACAATTGTCTACACGGCAGAAAGCACAGCACCCTCAACACTGCAAATATCAACTACCTTTGCAAATCGAATTCATCTATAGTTTACCAATTACATGACAAACCAAAGCTCAACATCAGTGACTATGGGTTTCAAATCTTCTAAAACCACTACAGAAAGCAGATAAGATTTTATGTTAGTTAAAATAAAGATTATAATAATAAATTGCATGACAAACAATATCCTATTTGATACTCTAGTCACAAATCCTCTAGTGATAATACATCATCTATCCTACACAATACTAATCTATGTGTAGACTGGGGCATGAATTACTAAGCCAATGCCTTCATATTCTTGCTATAGTCAACAATAACATGCTCCCACATCAGAATCATGATCAGTTTGGCTAGAGCCAAGTACTGGTTGGTTGTGTCACTGAGCCCATTCTGCAGCTTTCTCGCACATCACCAGATCCTATAAGCTACAAGTTTACAATAACCCATTCTCTTGTTACACACTTAAGTTTTCTTTGCCCCCAGCTCAGAGTGGAAACTTAGGATTGGTACCAGACTTTCAGGGTAGAACAGGAAGTTCCACCTTGTCATAGGAAAAGAAACTGACCCTTCCCTCTGTGACCTGGCAGATTTTCAAAGGAATGCCACCACATTGTTTCTCAAGAGCTTCAATCTCTACTTTACATGGTGGATGACCCCTATCAGAAGATACATGTTATAAATGATTAATAGTTTTCCAATAACAGATAATAAAAAAGAGGGCGGAAAAGAAACTAGAACTAAGGACAATTTTGCATAGCTATTAATTATTGTCAAAACCATATTAGTCATTGTGTATTATAGGAAGTTTTGTATTTTTTCCTCGGGCTATTCTATTCTTTACTACAGTCTAATTTTACCAATTAATACTAGGTTTATGTATTTAGAAACAATCCCATAATCATAGGGATTTGTCTCCTTAGAATTGGCAGTCCATATTTCTTAAAATAACCAGCAGGCTCATGTATTGATAGGTCTAATGACCTCATAATTGATACAATAAAATAGAATATTATTTCTTCTAAATTTGAGAATTAGTAAGACGTAAATAATCAATGTCAATTTTTTAAGTTAATTTTTAAAAATAAATAACCATAATTGATAAATACCTACAACGGCTACTTGCTCACACTTGTTCCCACAAAAATTAGAACTATTCATCCAAGTCTCAAATGGCTATCAACTTCTCATGGATGTATTGAAGTATATCTAACAGAAAACAGATATCTGTACGTATGAAATTGCATTTTCCTATTTTCATTATAAGAGAACAGACAGCCAAATGCCTTTATCAATTTTTAGTGTTTACTTTGAGAAATAACATGGTCACACCTTACAACCCCCCAACCCGAACACACACTGCCACGCAATGAAGCAGCGTGTCTGCCGGTGTGAATTCCTCTGACACAAAGATCACTTACCAATGAAATTTCAGAATCTAAAGTAATCATACTGATGCTATGAGAGACATAGTTATTACCTAGATAAGTATAGTAGAAAACTTGGATCACCAGGGGAAGACTTTCTAAACCGGCTATTTGGAAGATAAACATCAAAATCTGGCATCAACTCATTAATCTGCAAATCAGAAAATAACTTATCCATGGCAAGCTCAGATTTGGAACCCATATCTGCTAGTCCATTGCTTTTTTCTGTGATTTCAAGAGCAGCAGGTCTATGGGAACTTTTAATACTCTTCAAACTCCAAAGAACACCATGCCGCACAATTATGTAACCGAGAGACTTGAGGTGCCTGTAAACCTCAAACAACTCCCAACAACATCCACTCTTCCCGCCAGCAACCTTTTCATACATTTCTGTCAGAGATATCCTTCTACCACTATTTTCTAATAGGTCTAAAGCTCCAAGTTCCGTAAGATACCTGCCATTTCAGCCTTTACATAAGCACGAGTTTTCAAAACAGATTACAAAATTTCAATATATATCTTTTTATGCAAACAAGTGTATTGCCTAGTTACATAGTTTATTAATCCCTACATCTGAATGTCACGAGAGCGGGTATATGTAAAAAGATGGCATATCACCTACACAGTCTCCTCGATTGAAGAATAAATCTTGCCACTACGAACTATTCCAGTTGTTATCCACAATTTGCCATTTTTCTCAATGACTTCTCCCATTCCCATTTCTTCATTCCAACAGCTTTTGGATTTCACGCTCCTAGTAAACAAAATGAACAATCTTCTCTTTGAAATCATACTTGAGCAGGGGAAACAGAGATATATTTACTGGTAAGTCCTGATTTACAATGTAAAGATGCTTGACCTGAACTGCAACTTGGGCATGGAACCAGATGAAAAGCCAAGCTCCTCTTCATCACTTGCATTCTGCAAATAGACCTCATCATCACTATCTTCACTTGATGAACATCCCCATGTCTTGTCTTCCATAGATCAAAAGCTGTAATTTAATATATCAACCAATTGATCAGCCGCTAGGATTGTTGGCAGCACTTGAGAAAACTGTTTAGGGTTTCAATATGGTGTCTAAAGACACTATTACTATTGCATTTATAAAGAAGGAATACAAAAAAGAGGATATGGGTCTCAGCCCAAAACCTTAACCCTAGGGTTAAACTTGAGCAACCAATATTAACAACACAATTTTCAATTTAACAGTTACAAACCAACAACACCCATAAGGAGATGAAGAATATCCACTGGTCATTAAAGCAATGTTAAAATGTTCCTGAATCAACAATTCACATAATTGAATATTTTCGACAAATATGATTTAGGTACTTATCACTCCACAACCTTCACTACTGATCAATCATTAGTTGCAAATACCTTGATTGAAGCATGTTTATATATGACAACACCGATTACACTTTCCAGCTATTTTATTCGAAAAAAATGAATTATGAGTCATGACATCATATCTCCCACACAGAGTAAGTTAACAACTTCCTGATACATCCTTCAATGATGGTTTTCCAAGAAAAGTAAGTTTAGACAGATCGCTCTGTATCAGTGCACAATTTCTGGTTTCGAATAAGCAAGATAAAGTATATTAATTGCAAATTTTAGCAATCTTAGATATAATTTTCACCAGTGTCATTAGAGTTACATGAAAAAGATAAAGTTAAAAATCCATTATTGTCCTATAACTACGGTCAATAACACTATTCTTTTTATTGACAATAATGCTTTATTTCTAATTAGGATGATTTGCATTTCTTAAAAGAGACCATGTATGAAATGCAACTGGAACTGCCACTGCCATTGTACTCTTCTAGGTGAGATTCAATAAATAAACCCCCCCTCAACCCCCTTCCTCTCAGTGTGAAAATTAATATTTTTCTCGTATCAATCACGGTTCAAAAGCCATGTGGTTTATTAAGTCAAGCCTTTTCCATAATTAGTAATGACTTTGCATAACTGTCCATTCCCCAAAAGAATACCTCTATTAAACTCACAAAAATGTTATACATCATTCCTTCACTTAAATAAAAGTTGTTATATCATATCGGTGTTTAAAGTCAGGAAAAATATACGAAGAGAATCATGACCACACACCAAACACAAATTAACCTTAACTTTTAATATATATATATATATATATATATATATATATATATATATATATATATATATATATATATATATATTCAAATTAAGCTCTTACGCAATTAAGTGCGATATCTCTTTCTTTAACCCAAGGAGAGGAAACCAATTTGCTATGTTTCCTTTGTCATGAGCTGCTGCAGAAAAAGGATTATTCAGTTAGATTAGAATGCTACACAGTTACGTGACCCTTTAGTGTCCAAAATTATTGCAAAGAGTTCTTACTTGAACTACAGGGATCGTGTAGGCATGTAAACTGTTTTCTGATGTTAATATCAGATATTTGTGGATAGGTACAACTTATCAGATAGAACTAGGAAGAACAGAACCTTTATTTTTGGTTTTTTACTAAGAGATAGACTAATTATAAGTGATATCACGGTGAAGAAGGCGCCAGAATTAAACTACTTATTAGTATCATAATATTAGTAGTTTATAGAACTTATCTATCTTGAGAAATTATATCATCGGAGACAAAGCATTCTAGTTTGAGAAATTACCCGCTCCCTTTTTCCTATATACGGCGTATTTTCTCAATATTTACAGTTACACAGTTAAAAAAGCCACCAAATTAATCTAAAAAGAATGAACAAGTTGGAGATGGATAATGGCGATGTAGTAAAATGAAATTATAAATTGAAATTGAAATTGAAATTAAAATTAAAATTAAAATCTACATAATTATGCATACCAGCAACACCCACGCAAAAGGATAAAATAAACAAACACTGAGCATAGAAAAAAATGAAATTGACAAACGAAAACAAAACCTAGATCACATAGACGAGACATGAACCTGGTATAGATCACTGGCGAAAGAAGAACGCTACCTGAAAGAGAACAGAGCGTGTGAGAAAGTGCCGAGAGAATGCTTCCGGTGAAAGAGTGAGCGAGCGCCTGGGCAACTCCAAACATGAGAATTGTTTCATATGTGAATTCAAATTCCATATTTTAGTTATTTAAAATAGAGTGCAGATACACAAACCACTTTTTATTTTTTTATTTTTGTTCGCGATAAAGATGTGGAACGAGTGTTAAAATTTGGTTAGATCTATCATTTTTTTGTCAAGTATCTCTATAAATAAAAAATAAAAAAGATTCTCTATTTGAACAGCTTTTGTTTTACTTCAGAAAATTTTAAATTCATAAAAATTAATTTACATTTTTTCCATAATATATATTATATTATATTAATTAGGAATGAACGGTTTTGTTGTACCTGCGCTTATAAAAGAACATTTGAAACATAAACGAACGGCAACAGCATCTCCGAAGACCAGAGGTGGTTAAGCAAGGATGATGTTATTGGGAAGGGTTAGAGAGGTGAAGCAGAGTATCGCACATATACGTTATCTATGCCACAACTCACAAAAACATCTTCAAGATCTCGAATTGCTCAAGTGCTTCAAATCCGAGATTCAATTCGAGCTTTCTTCTAATCACTTTCAGGTTTTCTCACTCCTTCTTTTCCTTCCATGTCATGTGCTTTCATCGTTTGTTCCTTCCTAATAAAATGCACATTTCACTTCAAAATATGCTGAAGCTATGAGAGTGATTATTGCCATGGAATTTGCTATTGCTAAGGGGTGGAATATACTTTGGATTGAGTGCGATTCTCTGCTGATTGTTCAAGCTAGGCATAATAGTTTTCTTATTCCATGGCAAATTAGCTGTAGTTGGCTTAATTGTTTTACTAATAGTACACTCTTATCCACATGTCTCATGTTTTCAGGAGGATAACCATTGATAAACTTTCTAATCATGGTGCTATTTCCCGAATTTTTAGTTAGTGGAATAATATACCTAGGTTTATTAATCCTGAATTTTTTTTAGCGATAGGTTTGATTTGCCTTATTATAAGTTTGTAAACAAATAGTGGGTTTTGGTGTGGTCTCCCACTTTCTGTGTATTTTTTTCTTTTTGAGTTACTAGTGCATTTCCATGGGTGCAGAATGCTCAAACTGGTTCCTTAGGGGACTTTGTGGTGGACTCGGACTCACCCACTTCCAAAGATGTGGTTTTAAGAAGAAAAGTCGATTCGGGTGAGGAAGTAGCTGTTTCTGCTATTCTGGGACCTCCTAATTACGAGAAATACACTGTTTTTCCAAGAGATGCTTTTATGAAAGTGTGTGTGAAAAAACCAACATTGAGCTCCATTTTGCAGTTTGACTGTGGAATTCATGAAGAAACTGATAAGGGCTCTAATTTTGAAATTTATAATGCTTATTATCTCAGATCACCTACATTTCTCAGCCCTTCCAATTATAGAGGCCCCTTATTCAGGTGAACCAATACTAACCTTTTCCATTATAATTTTAATATACGTAGAACAATTTTGGTTTTCCTTTTGAGTGGAAGTTGTTTTGTATCGAGTTTAGAATGTTGTTTTTGATACATTCAGTGCTGGGTGATTTGCTTCAATGAATAAAGATAGGATTTATGTTATAGATTAGAGTAAATGACAAATTAATACCTAAATTTTTTATTTTTGTTCTTAGATATAACAAAACGTCAAAAATCCCGAGACTATAATTCTCTTCATCTTAGTTCCTAACTTTAACTAGTTTTGTCTAACTTTATTCTTGAAATATTTTAATATTATCACTTAAGTCACATACATTGGACTAAAAGTAACTAACAATTACAGCTTTTGGGAACTTTAAGTGGCTTTTTACTTCATAGATTATAACTTTACCCTAGACCTACACATTTGGCGTGCTTGGCTTTGAGCATTTTATGTACTCCAAATCTCCCAAGATTATTTCTATCTCTCCCCTTTGTTTTAATATTGTATCCTTATGTTCCATTTATGTAGTTTTTTTATGCTGCAAGTGCTATTGTCATATAATAACTTTACTCTTATGGCTTATAGTGTGTTTGGAAACCAGTTTGATTAGTGTTAAAGAGAGATTTTACACATTCCAATCAATGCCAAGATGTAAAAGCACGTGGCTGTTAGATTTGCAATAAGTTACCAAACATACACTTAAGCCTAACTATCCTATCTTGGGTACCTTGGCTTTATATCCAAGACTTCTCTACCTAATGTCTGTTAAGCATACATCCTTTATGTACCTTGAGTGTTGATATACCTATTCATATGGCATTTATTTTTAGATGGCATGCTGCAAGCCATGGTCCTGTTGGATTAGATATTAGAAATACATTTTCACAGGGTTGCTCATCTTGATTCTAGTTCTTACTGGTAAATTTGAAGCAAAAAACCAAGCCATTTTTCAACTTTTTTTTTACTAAGTAGCATTGGATAAAACTTTTTTTCTTTACCAAAATTTATAAGGTTATATTGAAGTTATTTTAACTTTAATGTATGTTTTTTGGTTACCATTTCCTGAACTACTTAGGCTTGTACTTTGATATAATTAAGCCCGTGAACTTAAACTGTGTTAAAATATTAAACATCTTTTTAAGTTCTTTAGAAACTTAAATGGGCTAGATTAGCAAACAAGCATTTCCTTTTGGCTCTTGTGACTTCATCAAATCATAACTTTATGTTTGGATAGGAAATTTTATAACTTCCAAGAAATTCAAACCGAGTTTGAATTACTTTCCTTTAATACTATTTAATTTTTAAAATTAATGGTTTAGATAAGGTATTTCAAATTTATTGAATTTTAATTTTGTTTTTTAGATAGAATATTTCAATTATTATCAAATACAAAAATTATCATCTCTACATCAGTCAATTAGGCTTAGCTTGCAGTACTTGAAAGTCACCCACATGGGTTAGACCAAGTTGACGTGGGATAGATCAGGCTGATAAGATTGGGTTTAGTTAGGACTGATTTAGGAAGGTTGGATAAATTTGCGCCAGGTTAGGCCAACTAGGTTAATTTGGAACGGTTAGATGAGTTAGACCATGTTGATACGGTTGTGCTATGTCTAGATAGTCTGGCTAGATCGGAACGAGTTGAGTTGTGTTAGTCCGGTTGTGATGAGTCTAGTCATATTGGGATTATGCATGTCGGGCCAGGTCGGAACACATTGAGTCGGGTTGGGTTAAGTTAATCACTTCAGAATCCGGTTGTGATGAGTCTAGTCATATTGGGATGATGCATGTCGGGCCAGGTCGGAACACATTGAGTCGGGTTGGGTTAAGTTAATCACTTCAGAATAAGTCTGGTTGAATCAGACCAAGATAGAATAAATCAAGTTGAGATGAGACAAAATGAGTTAAGACGAGACTGGACAGATTAAGTTGAGATGAGTCAAAATTGGTTAAGTCGAGACAAAACGTGTTGGATCCGGATGGTTCAGATTTGTATGAGTTGTGTCAGGTTGAAATGAGCCAAGTTAGGATATGATGGGTGAGACTGATTAGGCCATGCTTAAATGAGTCAAGCCATTTGGAATGGTCAAGACGGGACGAAGATATCCCAATTGAGATTGAGCCAAAGAAAAAAATATAAAGCAATGATCTCAAATTTGAGAGAAAAAAATAATGAAAAATTTCAACTACTTACTTTTTTTAGGTGGAATTTGAAATTCTTTAATTTTAATTAATTAAATTACTATCATTAATTCCTAAAATTTCAATTTCTTTCAAAATGTTCTATCCAAACAACCTATTTTGTGGTGAAGTATTTTAAAATCTCTATTAAAATGAATTATTCTTTATAAAGTCTCCATCCAAACCCAAGGTTAAACTGTTTTTAATAGTATCATGATTTCAAATTCTAGTAAACCATATATAAATTATATGGATCTTTTTACTTACACTTATTTCATTGTCTTGCCTATATCCATGTGAAGCACATTGGATAATGAGTTGCAACATGCACTCAAGGAATACCTGATAGCCAAGGGCATTGGGGTAAGCCTGACCAACTTCCTTCTCCACTACCTACACAAAAGAGAGCAAGAGCAGTATGTGAACTGGTTGAAGAAAGGTGAAGCAGCATTTGTAGCAACAGAAGGGTCTTTGAGGCAATCTATCGGGGAATAATGTCAATTTTGGAACTTCCCAAGTGTGAGGAAATCATTTTTTTATTGATATTCTAGCCAATGATTTTGACGGTTCGGATGATAATGATTAGGTTTTCAAATAAGTAAACTGTTTACTACAATGTAGAATTGTTTTTCTTACTTTCTTTTGGAAATGATATGCACCTGAATTTTTTGAAGTTAGATAAGAGAACTTGTATAAAAGTTAAGTGCATAACTTGTGTTTTACTCACAAGATAAACTTAATCAATTTTTTTTCTTCTTAGAGCTCATCACATCTAAATGAAAAATACCTATTGATTTTTAATAATATAAATAGGTCTAAAATATTCACAATGTTTTACCGTTTCAGGGCCTCTGCCATGTAGTGTTCCTTTTTCCTTTCCATGCACCCAAAAAGGTCTAAAACTAAAACATGTACATAGTACAATTGTTTGAAATTAAATTTTGCACAATAGTTTAAATGTAGGAGTGAATACTCCTATCTTCAACTTTTACTCATTAATCTACCTATTGCTGTTGCATTTATAATACATGGTTGTTAGAATGAATTGTTCATCTTAAATTTAAGTTCTACTATGTACCAACTTGGGAGGAATTTATAGGTTTTGACTCAAAGTTTAGGTAGGTTATTGCTGTGATGTTTAAGTTATTCATGTAACACTCCATATATTGATATTATGTTATATTTATGGTCAGAGATTTTATTCTATCTTCACTTATCTACTCTATTTCTACCTAGCTGAGCATTTGTTAGATCAGTCTTTGGTTATTCAAAAATTCCTCTTCCTAAGAAAATCACCTCATAAATCATACATTATATTGAAAGATAATATACTTTTCAATTTAAACTATAATTTACTTCTCAACTTAGTTTATTTTATTTAAATATGTAATGATACACTAGTTTTAGATTACATTAGGTTAAACAAAATATACTATTTAACTTAGTTTCTTTTTTAAACCGACTAAACATAATGTGCATGTGTTTCTCATATAATATTTCAAAGATAAATATTACATATGTGTACCGTAGCTTTAGATACATGTTGAGAAAAAAAGTTTATTAAAATCAACTATATGATAAATAGAAATACTTTATTCTTCATCTTCTAATTTATGTGTTTTAACAGTAAATAAGCAAGAGAAGAGTTCAAAATCTTAAAAAGAAGATAAAGTGTTATAGAGAACTAAAAAGAAATTATATAAATAAAAAAAATGAAATACTTAGTTTTAAATTTAACTAAACAAAAATTCAACTTTCATCATTTTAAACTCTATCATCTAAAACTTAATTAAAAAAGAGTCCTTACAAAATTTATTCTATTAAAAAATAAAAAATATTATTTTTGACAAATATTTATAATAAAATTTAAATATCAATTCTTCAACTAAACTTGACAATTGAATTTGAGTGAAATTAGAATAAATCTCAAGAATAATATATTTTAAAAGAAAAATTACTCATGTAAAACTTATATGAATTTATTTATTCATAAAGACTTGTTTATTATCTATATGTAATTTTTTTTCTTTATAAATTTTTCTTTTTTTATCTTATTTCTCTTGTTTTTCTTTCTTTTCTCACTTATTCTCCTAATTGAACTATTATATTAAAATTTAATAAAAATATGTTAAAACAAATATTTTAAAAATAATATTAAAACTAAAAAATATTAACTAATTATTTAAAATTATGATGAAAATAAATAATTTTATTTATGATAACGTAAATAATTATTTTAAAATTATTTGATCATAATAAAATATAATAATTTAATATGTGCATAATAAAAAATATAAAACTAAAAAAACAAAAAATATGAATTTTATTTTATTTTTGAAAGTGGGTGTGTGCTACTACCCATTGGGAAAGAAACCTATTGATAGATTGTTAGTTCATAACAAATAGCCAATTTTAAATATTAAGTAGTAAATAAAAATAAAAAATGTTTAATAAAAAATAATTTATTTTAAAATGGTCAGTGAAAAGTTTAATTGTCCTTCTTAAAATATTAAAGTCCATAATAAGATTTCATATGATTAATAAAACATCAAGTTATAGAAAATATCTTGAGAGAAATGATCATAATTATTTATCATTAATCATTCTTTTTTAAGATATTAATTTGAATGCAAGAAACTTCAAATGTATTTTTCATATTCATAACTATATATAATTATATCTAATGAGATTGTCTTTGTAACAGTTTTTTTTAAATAAAAGTATCATAATTTCAAGAAAAATAATTATTATGATTTATATATTAAAAAGTAATGAATATATGAGAGAAAACAAACATGATACATAATTAATGGAGAAAAAATATATTAAAAAAAAATAAAGAAACAAACTACACTTTGTATATGGAACTTTTGATTACATGTTGGCACTCCCATTACCATATTCCATTGTTGGTTTTCCTGATTTGTTGTTTCCTAGGAAGATGATGAAGGTTGTGTGGATTTTGGTAGGAAAGATGACTCTTGATGGTAGTGAGGAGTTGTTGAATAAATTATCAAATAAAAACAAAAACTTTATGGAGTGAAAGGTTGATTTTAGAAGATAAAGAAAGAAAATTGTGGCTTAGTTGTGGTCATGAACAATTTCTTGGTGAGTCTCAGACAATTTTACCCATTTCTCTTATTGACTATTTTGTGTGGTTAATGATTCATTCATTTGGATTTAATATTTGGTGGAAGTTTTTTTTTCATAATTTTAAATAATTATTTATAGGAATAATGAAACCACTAACCTACATCACATCATATATTTATTACTTGTTTTGATTGAGGTAACCATAAAACTTTTCATTATTATTTATTACAATTTTAATTACATGAAAAAAATACTCTTAATTTATATTTAAAATACAAAGTTTAAACAATAATTTTTCTAAATATAATTTTTTATTTATATGTTTTTAATAATAATTTAAATACTTTTTAGTGTAATTCTAAGAGTTATTTCTTATTTTTATCATTTATTTTTTAAAATTAATAATGAAATAAAAACAGTTCTTGAAAAAACAAACTAAAAGTAATTTAATTTGTTTTTTAATATAAAATAAGAATAATAGTGTCTGAAAATTAAGAAATGAAAAATATGTATACACGGGAATCCAAAATGAGGTAATATCTTCTAATAAATCATCAAAACTAAAATAAAATATAGTAAATACATATTTTATTGAAATAGAACGTGTCGTAAAATGTTTCATTTTTTTTTAATGATCACTGTTCGTTAAAGTGTCGACCTTTTTCTACTCTGCGTCTTGTTCTCGATTACCCCCTTATCTTTTATTACACTTTCGCTTCTTTTTTTTTCTTTTTCTTTTTTTCTTTTGCATTGTCTGTATGGGTTTAGCTTGTAAACTCACCTTCCTCTACAATCTTATTTTTCTTTGTCTTATTTATTATAATTATTCTTTAAATATTTATTTATGAATTATTAAAAATTCTAAATTATATATTGTTCAAAATTGTTTAATAATTATTTATCATTTTTAATGTTTATTTTTTATTTGATTTTTATTTACAAGTAAAAAATATTAACATTAAAAAAATATAAATTAAATTTTTATATTAATGACGAAAGAACCGATGTTAAAAAGAATAATATTCATCGTCAATTCTTTCTTTCTTTCTTTTTTCTAATTTCTTGACTGATTTTTAATTTTTAAATCAGTTTTTTTCTTATTCAAAACCCGATTTATAATATATTTGACTTGGAAACCAGACCAATTAACCAAACTATTTTTTACCTAGTATTTACCAAGACAACCAAACTAAATCATAGTTTGAAAAGTTAAAGTACGAAAAAGTGAAAATCATCGTAATAGAATGATCTTGCCCAAAAGGTTGATTTGATTACTTCAATAAAGATCTATGCCGCCTTAAGTAGATTTGATTATTTCAATCAAGTTCTAAGCTGCCTCAAAATAAAATCCTTATTTGGGTTCTCATTTTTTAATATTAGTCTACCCACCCATAAATTGGAGCAATTATCACCATAATTATTTATCAAACTTTTCTCGTTAAGAAATCATTTTCACCAATATGGAGTATCAACTAAAAAAAAAAACTAATTAGCAATTTAGGGCAAAATTTTACCAAATGAATCCATAATAATTTCATTTTTCTATTTTTTTTATTTTTAAAGTAAAATATATTTGTAGTGATCTTTTTTAAAATTTATTTTCGATTTTTATTTTTATGTATCATTTTTTTCTCATTTCTATTTATTATATATACATATATATCACATTTTTTCTTTATTTTTTATTATTTTTCAAATCTATGATATTTTAAACGATTAGAAAAACGAATATTCTGATAAAAAATTATTAATTATGAAATTTAAGTGTAAAAAATATTAAAAATAAATTATTTCATTAATCTTGATAAAAGAAATGAAAAAAAAACATAATTAGATAGTAAATTTAAATACAAAAATTAAAATCACATGTTCTTTTTGGAACTTTAAATGATCAATTTGCAAAAATGAAAGACAAAATTATGAGAAATCTATTTATATTTTATATTGATATAGTTTTATTTTTAAGTATAGCAGCCGGTACATGCAAAGCCTGCTGCTATATATTGATGAAGTTGTGCTGAGCAATATCTCCGTACAGTGTGTCCTTTGTGTTGGTAGCCATCTCTCGTTGTTGTAGTTTTTTTTTATTTTTTATTTTTTTTCTCATTTTCGTTCCAACAAATGGAAAGTGCTCTCCTCAAGGAGTTCCAGCTCCAACACAAAAATCCCTCCCTCGAAGCTCTCCTCCGATGGAGATCCGCCGTCACTCTTGTCAAAAACCACCGCCGCCGCTTCCGCATGGTCGCCGATCTTGACAAGCGCGTTGAAGCTCAACGGATTAGGCAGGGAATCAAGGTTTTTCTTCTATTTCCTTATTATCGATTGATCTCTCTGTTTCTATGCTTATCCATGTCCGTAACTAACCACCTTAGGATCGATCATACTAACTTCAAAATTATTTACATAAATGCGCAAAGTTGAGTAGAAAAGGTCTCATGAATCTATCATTGACGATTCTCTAAATATTGATTTGGAAATAAAAACAAAAGTAAAACACGTTTCAGATTATTTTTTTCGAAAACTGTTGCCAGAAAAGTGAGGAAAATACGGTCAATTTGTCTGTACGAAGAAGATATTAAAAGTTTAACTTATTCTATTCTCGATTTTTTTTTCCTCTAACTCTGTGCAGCTCAGTTTTTGTAAACAGAGTAATTAATCTCAGAAAACTTTAGTTACTAAGTTAATTAATTACGAGAATTTAAGAAGACTTCAATTATTATTGTTATTCGTTAATTTTTTCCTTCAACGAGAATCTTCGCAAACACATCCTCTCGGAGTTGTGGATGGTGAGAGAACTGAAAAAAAGTGATGGAGGAATATTAAAACGATATTTACATGTGGAATCGTAGGCATGGATAAAATGGAGATAAGATATGAGATTGATTTTTTTTTTTTTCATTTCTTTATTTCACTTTTTGTTTCGTCTTGACATTGATATTTGATTAAATTAAACTATGTGTCCATTGTTTTCGTGTGAAATGAGCTGCAAATGGAGATTGATTTTACTAAATGGTTTGAAACGTGAGTCACACACAATGTGAAAAAATTGAACCAAAAGAAACTCTAACTTTTATTGCCAAAAAGGACATTTTATAATAATATAAAATGTCAATCGTTACCAAAAGATTAAAAAATATTTTATTAATATTATATATATATATATATATATATATATATATATATATATATTATGCATCTCATATAAGTTTTGTGAACATTGAAGAAAATTTAATTATATAATTTTTTTTTCAATTTTAAGTAATTTATATTTGTAATCAATAACATTTTTATTAATGAGTAATTCTTATAAATCATCTTAATGCATAGGAATTATATAGGGTGGGTTTTGCAGGGTCAGTTTTTTAGTTTATTTTAATGTTAACGGTAGTGATATTAACTTATATAAGGTGGATGAAATTTTAAATTAATATATCCAATATTATTCTGCTTATATTTAAGTATAGAGAAAATGTTTTAAGGTGTATTCGGGATAAAAAATATGAGAAATTTTTAAAAATATATATAATAAATAATGTAAAATAAAATATATAAAGAAAAATTAGTAAAAATGAGATTAACAGAAAAGTAAACATATATTAAATATTTCTTTCTATTTTATACTAGTTTATTATTATTATTATTGGCTTAATGACTTTCTTTGGCAACACAAATGATACAAAATGGTTGTTTGAGTTTCACAGAAGGAACACATTTTCAAGGCAATTTTTTAATTATTTTTATTTGTTAACTTTTATTTAGATTGTTTAACTTTGTGAGTGAAATTTTATTTTTATTTGTTTTTTAAGATTTTGTATATAAAGATTGAGAAATATAACGATTTTTATCTTAATAAAATGGATAAATTTATTTTTTCATTTAACTTTTTAAACTTACAAATAACTACATATTATTTTTTATATTTATTTTTACTTTCATTATAAATTTATAAATTAACGAAAAATTAATAAAATGAGAACGATAATTTAAAAAGTAATTAATATTATTTTAAAGTTTGAAACATATAAATGTGAAAATATGTTTTTAAAAATTTCCGATTATATTTCACAAGTTTACTTTTATTTTTTTAGTGGGATGTGACCCCTCTTTAGTATATGTAGTACCTGTTCAGAACAGTTTACTGTCTGTACTTCGTGTTTAGTGGTTCCATTTCCTAAAGTCAAAGTCTACCCCACTGTCATTAAAGGAACCTTTATTTTTTAACATACCAAAATTAGTTTAAGATATTTAAAAAAAATAAAATTATTAAATATTTTTTAATTTATTTTTTAAAATCGATCTCGTTTTTAAATTTTTTTTTTAAATCAAGGTTTTTTTTGGGGTTTCCTTAAAATGGGAATTTAGATAAGCACCATTTATATAAGCCCTTAGAAATTAAAAATTAATAAAAGATAAACATAATATTTATTTAAGATAATTAAAGGAATTTTATTTTTTATTTTTTATTTAAAAATTTGTTAGTCTCTTCTCTTATTTATTCTCACATGAATAAAGATGAAAGTATACGAGGAAGGAAATTATTTTAATTTCTAATAAAAGAAATTTTATAATTTTTGTTTTGATAAATCAATTTTTCTCTCGTTTTAACTTAAAAAACAAATGAAAGGTTATATTTTCCCTGTTTCTTTTTAACAGTTAATTTTTTTTTAAGTATTTTAGTTCTGTTTTTAAAGCTCAACACAATGTTAATTATTTTTTCATGTGTATTTTATTTTCATCTAATTCTTAATTATTTTATATATTTTTTAAAAATAAATAAGAATAAAGTATTTTTTAAAATAAAAATAGTATTTTTCTGAATCTCAGAAATTTTTTAATAACTGACATTAAAAAGAAATTAACAGAATATTAGTTTGGGGTCGGGACTGCGCAGTCCTATTAAAAGTCCTGTTGAACGTGTTTGTCAGCATGGATGTACATAGTCAAAATATTGAGCATGACACTTCCTGTTGAAAAATAATATATTCACTTCTTTTCTCAAAATCCGGATCGGCCACTTCAACATATTCAATTCAAAACTGATATGAAAATTCGTTTTTCTTTTTTTCTAAAAATTGAAATTTAATTAAACTAATATAAAATTTAAAAAAAATACAAAATTCACTAAATTTTGAAGTTTTTTTAAAGAATATTTTTTTTTATTTTCAAAAAATATAATTTTTTATTTTTTTATCTCATAATAATGTCAATTTTAACAATAATTATTTAATGTATTTTATTTTTTTATTATAATTAGTAGTCTTTTACACTATTATAATTTATATTTATAATATTTATTATTAACCTAAAACAACTAATACAACTACTTGTAGTTATTTTTGTATTCAAACTCATGTTTTTTTTAATTGACTTTTATCTAATAATTTATTTTAATGTAATAATAACAATAAAAGTTTTTATTTTTATATATTATTATTATTATTATTATTATTATTATTTTATTAAATAAGATTGTAAAATTATTGTATATAGAAAAATAAAAACAAATTTTACACATGTCAATACTTTTACAACAGCTGCCCTTGCACAAATTCACCTAAATAATATTACCCTCTTAGACTAACTAGTACTAATACTTAGTACAAGTGTGTTTAATTTTCAACTTTTTGGTGGGAAGTGATAAAACAACTTTTCATCGAAATTTACGACGCGAAGCTTAACTGAATGGGAGGAAGGGATTGGGGCCATGCGTTGTGCTATCTTTTTGTCATGATATGACCGACCACCCAAACAACAATAAGAAAAAAGTTTGTGCTCATACTTCACATTGGATGGACGGCAAATAATATTGCTTTCAGGTTTAGCTCTGGCAATGCCTATGTATCATGCGTGATTTGAAACTTTCACTTATCTTGCCCGGTCTATTGAAGAGATTAGATAGATCATCAACACGTCTTGACCGTAGATTCTCAAGACCTTGTGCTTTTCTGATGCATGCATGACAAACCTCCCTCCCTTGTCTGCTGTCAGTTTTGAATACATAGCCTCATAGTTTTCTTTCTATGACTACTAAAGTAATTCCACAAGTTTCTCCATCCCACGTGACACTAACCCTCTTTCTCTCACTATTTAGGTTTCACCTTTAGTGAATGAGAATTACGATTTCTATTGTTTTGGTATTGGATTGCCTTATGCTATAGCAGTTTGACCGTGTTAGAGATGATATTTAACTTTGTTTATACCTTATTTTTCTAGATTATAAGTTTGTTCATTAAAAGTTTTAAGATATTAATATATTTTACTAGGCTCTTAAGAGTTGTGTGGATGAGTTTTATCATAGTTTTTTTCAGGAGAAAAAAAAACAAAATCAACTTTTTATAAGTTAAAATTAATGTATGTATAAATTAATTTATTGAAACTTTCTTACATAATTTGTTCATATTTTTATTTTTAACTTATAAAAAAAAACTAATTTAATTTATAAAAAAGTCAATTTTATCTTTTCTTCGTATTTTTCCTTTACTCCAAGTCTTTATTGATAAGTTGTACAGCTATATTTTTTTTATCAGTTATAAACTATATATTCTTTTCATCATATTAATTATAAACTAATTATCATTTTTTTAGCTAGTAAGGATATATTCAGATTAACTTCTTCACAAGTCCCTCTAGAGGAATAAAAAAATTAACTTCTTTGTAAACTAAATTTAGTTTATACATAAATTAAAAATAAAGATTAGAAATAACTTTTTTTATAAATTAATGTATACACAAGTTAATATTAACTTGTGTATTTAGCTTATGAAAACATTAATTTAAAATTTTTCCTCTTGTATAAAGAGCTATGGAGGAACTTAATCAAACAGACCCTACATATTTAATTTTTAGAGGTTAATTAGTTTATTTTACCATTTTTTTATTTTAATATATTTTTTTCTTTCTTTACGATAAAATATCAGTTCATTTTTATTTATGTGCATTTTTAACTAGTATAGTCGTTTGCTTTTAATATTAGACTATTTTATTGAATTGTTTTTATTATGTGCATTCTTCAAATTCTTATTTTAATAAAACATATAATGTTTTAATTCAGATGATTTTTTTCATACATTCGTTCAAATCGTTAATATCACGAATTATGAAATATCCAGAGTTTAAGATGTAATTTCATGAAAAAAATATTAGTTTGAAATAAATAAAAAAACAATAAAAAATAATTTTGTCATTGTCATAATATTGATTATTGCAATTTAAAGAAATAATACAAAATATTTTAATCATTCTTCATTTTCTGAATTATATTTAGCATATTTTTCATATTATACTATGTATTTTAGTTGCTAAACTTTATTTGAACTTTTAATAAAATATTTGATTTTAGGGAAATATTGATTAGTATAAAATTTAGGAAAAAAAAAACAAAGATGTTTTTTTTTTTTTTTTTTATGTAAAACATATACATCTTTATAAAATACTTTCTACTTGAAGACCAACATGTAAATTTTAAACTTTGAGTTCCTATTTTTTAAAGTGTTAAGTTTAACAACTCTCAATTAATTTATCAACTAGTTTTTCCAAAGACTCCATGTGAAGGGCGTACATTTTCTTAAACTGTGTTTTTCTTCTCATTTATCTAGCCTAGCTGGATAGCGTGTAACTTGTGGTCCTTTAAGACTATTAATAATGTAAGATTCCGGGCTTATTATGAAATAAACAATGACATAGATTTTGAACAACATCAAAGCAAACTTAAAAGAAAGCCTTGTATTTCAAAAAAAGCTATTGTCACCTCATCTACATTGGAAAAGTATGTAGAACTTTTTTGTGAGGAACTATATGTAACAAAATTTTATTTTTGATAATTTATTAGTTTTGACTTTCAACAACATGCAAGTTTGGACTTATTTATGATACCTCTGTTCTAACTTTTAATTGTTTTTTTTAATATATATAGTTAGTGTCTAAGGTTTTGCAATGTGCAAAATTTAAATTTGAATTTTTTTTTAATCGCTTTAATTCGAGAATGACCTCAAATGTTTATCGGAGAATGAAAATTATATTTAAGGATAAAAATATATTGTATTTTATTCTGAATTACAATATTTATTTTCCAATCTTATATTTAGTTCTTAAATTCTTAAAATGATTTTATTAATTCCTGCCTCAAATAAGTGTTAAAAATATTTTAGCAATGAATAATAATAAATTGTTTGAAGTATTTAGTTCGTGATTTGCACCGAAGGGCTCTTGTAGGGCCCTAGCTAGACTAATTGAGGTATTTAAATGGTATATTAGAAGTATTTGGTATGGTATGTGTATAATTTAATTGACCTCGTCACAAAGCAAATTATGCATTTATTTATGGTGAGCAAATTAATATAGTATTTAAATTTATTTATGCAACCACGGAAAGCGGAAACTTCCTCGAAAGTTTCCACTCCAAAAATTTGATAGACATCGACAGCCATAAACAAGAAGGCAGTTGGTATTTTCTGTTGCGCCATCTATGAAAATGACACTGGAGTTTGGAACCTTCATAAAAATCACGAACCTACGATAATACATTAATCTATTCTAATTTGTATGATAGATTTTTTTATGTTTGATTATTGATTGAGAGACAGGAGTGTTAAAAAGGAATGATGACATATTTAGTTTAATAACGCAAGAAAAAAAAGTGAAATAGTTTAATAACGTGTCTCATCTGCTTTTGACTTGTCATTTTTTGTTGAATTGAGAATGACTTCAAACGCGCTTTAGACGCGTCTACTTGACTGTTCCATTTGAACAAAGGCACAGCAAGCAACAACATATAACCTTTGAATTCAATTTACTTGTAGATGCAAATTGTCGCCGAAATTTCTGGCGCTGTATTGATGTCAACAATGGCGGATGTAGGTTAATTAAAGTAAATATTTACTCAAACGAGGATTAACCCTAAATACTAATCCTTCTCATTGATTAATAGCCAATGAATAATTTAATTAATCAATCAATTTTTGTCTAATAATTTATTCATAAAGTTAGTGATACAATTATTAACATCTGTTTATACAGATGATAATTAGTTCTATGTCTTAACTATTAGGAATATATTATATTAAGAAAATTCTAAAATTAATAATTATTTTCAATGATGATTATTCCATACCAATACATGGTTAAAAAAATTAGCGGTACAAATTATTTTGATAAGCTTAATGATAACATTTATTTAAATAAGTTCAGAAGTTATGAATTAAAAAGCAAAGGTTCAAGAATATTATTTAAACTAAGATTTCCTTTCACTACTTCCTTTAATATTTGTTTTTATCTCTCTCGTTTATATTAATAAAAATCATGCAATTTACTTTTCTGCAAAGGAGAATATCCTGCAAATCAACAACTGGGTGTAAATGTGTAGTAGAAACTGTTGATAACCTTGGCTATGAGCTGTGTGAGATTGCTTAAACAAAAACACATGATTTAGTGAATTTAAGTTCTATTGTACTGCAGTTCTGTTGAAGCAACATTTTCTGGGTGATTGTCTGTTGATAAGGGTATGTTTGAGTGAACTCGAGGTCTATCTGGCAAAACTAGCGAATGATTATGAAAACAAAAAAAATGCAAATGTCGTTCATTTTATTATTCACTTACATGTTGACACATTAATAAAGGGATTTCCCCTCCGTTCCTTCTGACAAAAATGATAACTCTGCATTATGATTAACCATCCCTTTACTGGTTATCTAGCTCGCTCCGGAAACAGTCATGACTAAGTGAGAAAAACTGAGATATTTGCTCTCATATTTTAACTGAGGTTTCTTGGAAATACCATTTCATGTGATGAGATATACGAGGATATCGCTACTTATGTACATTGTCAATTAGCCGTTTCCAATTTTAATATACTATCTTTGGCTTAATCTGTCAGGATAAAATTCGAATTGCTCTCTATGTTCAAAAGGCAGCATTACAGTTTATTGATGGTATGGTGTTCCAATTTCAATAGTAGAAGTTATTATAATTGCTTTAGAACTAGTCACTTTCTGTTTATATGTTTTCTAAGTTAATCTGGTTTTCTGATGCAGCTGGTAATCGATTTGAAAACAAGCTATCGAGTGAGGTAAGAGATTCTGGTTATGGTATTCAACCAGAGGATATTGCTTCTATTATTCGTGGCCATGATAACAGGACCTTAAATGATATTGGTGGAGTTGAAGCAATCGCAAGGAAACTGTCAGTTTCTTTGGAAGAAGGTATCAGCGAAGAGAGTATAAATAGAAGACAACAGATTTATGGATTCAATCGTTATACCGAAAAACCTTCTAGATCGTTCCTGATGTTTGTGTGGGATGCACTCCAGGACTTAACTTTGATCATGCTCATGGTTTGTGCTGTAGTTTCTATAGGTGTAGGTATAGCCACTGAAGGGTGGCCGAAGGGAACGTATGATGGTGTGGGTATTATAATCAGTATATTCTTGGTAGTCACTGTTACAGCTGTCAGTGATTACAAGCAATCCCTACAATTCAGGGATTTGGACAAAGAGAAGAAAAAGATATTTATTCAGGTGACCAGGGATGGAAAAAGGCAGAAGATCTCAATTTATGATATAGTAGTTGGTGATGTTGTTCATTTGTCAACTGGGGATCAAGTTCCGGCTGATGGAATTTTTATATCAGGATACTTTTTGCTTATTGATGAATCTAGTTTGTCAGGTGAGAGCGAACCAGTAAATGTTAATGAAGAAAAACCGTTTCTTCTCTCAGGAACCAAAGTGCAGGATGGTCAGGGGAAGATGTTAATTACAACTGTTGGGATGAGGACTGAATGGGGAAAATTGATGGAAACTATTAACGAGGGAGGAGAGGATGAGACCCCGTTGCAGGTTAAATTAAATGGAGTTGCTACTGTTATTGGTAAAATTGGTTTGATATTTGCTATTCTGACATTTGTGGTGCTGACAATAAGGTTTCTGGTTGAAAAAGCACTTAATGGTGAGTTTTCCAGCTGGTCTACGGATGATGCAATGAAATTACTGGACTTCTTTGCTATTGCTGTGACCATACTAGTTGTTGCTGTTCCTGAAGGATTGCCACTGGCTGTGACACTGAGTCTTGCTTTTGCAATGAAAAAATTAATGAATGACAAGGCACTTGTAAGGCATCTTTCTGCTTGTGAGACTATGGGTTCAGCTAGTTGCATTTGCACAGATAAGACAGGGACATTGACCACTAACCGGATGGTGGTTACTAAAACATGGATATGCGAAAAATCCATGCAGATAAAAGGTAAAGAGAGTGCTGACGAACTGAAAACATCTACACCTGAAGGAGTTCAAAACATCCTTTTGCAGGCTATATTTCAAAATACTTCTGCTGAAGTAGTTAAGGATAAAGATGGAAAGGAAACAATATTGGGGACCCCAACAGAATCAGCACTGTTGGAATTTGGTTGCCTTTTGGGTGCTGATTTTGATGCCTATGCCCAGCGTAGAGAGTATAAGATACTGAAAGTTGAGCCATTCAATTCAGTGCGAAAGAAAATGTCCGTGCTTGTGGGTCTTCCTGGTGGAGGGGTCAGAGCATTCTGCAAAGGTGCATCAGAAATAATATTAAAAATGTGTGACAAAATTATTAATTGCAATGGAGAAGTTGTTGATCTTCCCGAAGACCGGGCAAATAATGTCTTTGGTGTTATAAATGATTTTGCCTCTGAAGCTTTGAGAACTCTTTGTTTGGCCTTCAAAGATATAAATGAAACCCATGGGGACGCCAACATTCCTGGTTGTGGCTATACTCTAATAGCATTGGTAGGAATCAAGGATCCTGTACGCCCGGGGGTTAAGGAAGCTGTTCAAATTTGCATAGCTGCTGGAATAACTGTCCGCATGGTAACCGGTGATAACATACATACAGCAGAAGCAATAGCCAAAGAATGCGGTATACTTACTGAGGGTGGTGTAGCCATAGAAGGTCCAAAGTTTCGGGACCTATCTTCTGAGGAAACGAAGGATGTCATACCTAGAATCCAGGTTCTTATTTCCTCGCATATTCTGTGATTCAGTTCTTGAGGACAGGGGAAAGGGAATAGGATGGATTGGTGATTTGTATCCTTTCTTGAGATTCTGACTTTTCCTTTTTAATTTATATGGTTTCAGGTGATGGCACGATCCTTACCACTCGACAAGCATAAGTTAGTAAACAATTTGAGGAGTATGTTTGGTGAGGTTGTTGCTGTTACTGGTGATGGAACCAATGATGCTCCAGCACTGCGTGAGGCAGACATTGGACTTGCAATGGGCATAGCAGGAACTGAGGTTTGCATCTCTTGTTTACTTCTATAATTCTGGCAGTGTAGTCTTTGCATTATGTTTTAGACATTAGTAGTTAACTTCTATTCTAGTTACATAAATTATTTACCGATTCTTTAATTTCTCCTTTGCTGTCTTATCTATACTCTCCTAGAATTGTATACCATGCGTTGAGGTATCTTTTTATGTTAATAACTCTTGCTGCAATGATATCTAGTAACACTTTTTGTCCTTGTTTAATTAATAACATTTGTAGGTTGCCAAAGAAAGTGCTGATGTCATTATCATGGATGATAACTTCACGACTATTGTCGATGTTGTGAAATGGGGACGTTCAGTATACATAAACATTCAAAAATTTGTGCAGTTTCAATTGACAGTTAACGTTGTTGCTCTGGTTATCAACTTCTTTTCTGCATGCATCACAGGTTTGTTGGTTGATGGGATTTGTTATTCTGTTGAATTTTATTCAAGCAACATCGGTGATAGTCTTCCGTCTTTCAGGATCTGCTCCACTCACAACTGTTCAATTGCTTTGGGTCAACTTGATTATGGACACTCTTGGTGCATTAGCCCTAGCTACTGAACCTCCTAATGATGGACTTTTGAAAAGACCCCCTGTTGCAAGGGGAGCAAACTTCATCACCAAACCTATGTGGAGGAATATCATTGGTCAAAGTATATACCAATTAATTATCCTTGCGATTCTAAATTTTGATGGGAAGAGGCTCCTCGGAATTAGTGGTTCGGATGCAACAGAAGTGCTCAACACTTTTATATTCAATTCCTTTGTATTTTGCCAGGTACATTCTGCATGTATCATTGATCATTATACTTAATATATTCCAAACAAGAGAAATTCCAGGAATTGATACTAAAACAAAAGTTCAAACCTGTTAAAAAAATGGTATGATACGGTGTTTTGCATTTATTTAGCTTGTTGTTTTTCCTTTCTCTCTATTTTCAGGTGTTTAATGAGATAAACAGCAGAGATATTGAAAAGATAAACATATTCAGAGGCATGTTCGACAGCTGGATATTTTTGTTGATAATTTTCTCCACTGCGGCATTTCAAGTGGTGATAGTTGAATTTCTTGGAATTTTTGCCGGCACTGTGCCTCTAAACTGGCAATTCTGGTTACTAAGTGTGTTAATCGGAGCAGTTAGCATGCCTATAGCTGCTATCCTCAAGTGCATCCCAGTTGAAAGAGATATTAGTAAGCAGCACCATGATGGTTATGAGGCACTGCCATCTGGTCCCGACCTGGCATGAAGTATTTATCAGAAAAATATGGTTTCCTTTTCCTTTTGTTTTTGGATCATGAACATTTATTTTATTTTGTTTTCGATATTTTTGGGAAACTAACCTTACAACAACTGGATGAACATTGACAAGAATGCCTAACCATGTTACTTTTTTACCCATGAAGGCATTACCCGGGTTGCTTTGCTGATTTCTCCTCTGTTTTTCATGCTTTCATTCTTTACAGCATTGTAATTTTGTGTAGTTTTGTTAAGACTTGATAACTGTACGGAATTTCTGGGCAAGACAAAACATTCATGGGTTTTGGGAATGAAATGATTGAAGGCAAAGATCAACAACAGTCCTCTCTGCGCACACAACTGATGCATATCTGCTTGTCAGAACCAGCTGTTTGAAGAGCCATTTTATTCGAGGACAGTTCCAAATTTATACCACTTTCAGTTCTCATAAATATTCATAGAATTCACTTGAAAATATTGGTATTGAATTATTTTATGTATGTATATTTGTGATATATGATATATATATATATATATATATATATATGTTTTATTTATGTATTTTGCTTATATATAGAATAAAATATTAAATATTAATAATATTTTAATTATTTAAATTAAAATAATAATTTAATATTTTTATTTTTTCTTTTAAAAAATAAAAAAAGTTAATATTTAATTTAAGTAAAAGATGAAAAAAATAATATTATGGTTGTATCAAAACACTAAAATACCAGCATGACAGGGGCAATGCTTTTTGACCGATTGAGAACCTCTCATATAATTCGCCGCTGCAATTAATCAGAGTTTTGAACGTTTGGTTTGTCCTACGAAGATCTCAGCACCCAATGACGTTTATATAACGGAAACTAGCTAGTCCTCGAACTATATTGCTGCCAGAGCATATTTTTCAGTGCACAATATATTTGTTACATGTTTATATTATACTTTCTTGTGCTTACCTTAGAATTTTTGCTTCTAAATCTATATCAAACCATTTACAAAATAAAGTATGTTCCAAACGGTTTTGAAGCTGATTTTGATTTATATCGGAAGAGGTGGTTGGTATTAAGAGGGAAAAAGAAATCTTCAGCAGAAACAAAGATAGAGAAAAAAACTAAAAAATTAACGTGGTACATCCATTGACACACTCAATACGAAAACAAAAAAAATTCAGAAATTAGTGTGGTACATCCACTAATACACTCAATACCTTTTCATTTCTCAATTTGTAATTTAATTGCAAACCCTCTGATATAATTTTTGTACGAAAACATTACAAACTCTTCCGTATAATTTTTTGTACGAAAAAATTGCAAATCCTCTCTTGACACACAACTATACAAGTTCCCAATACACCCAAAGACTAGTGTTGTTGTGGTAAACAGACTCAAACTATCATCCCTTATTTATAGTAATAGTCAACAACTTCCCTTCTTCAAACTACCTAATGTAGGACTTTGAAGGATACGCACACACTTTGGGCACAACAGAGATAGACTCACTTGCAAAGACTTAACGATAATAATGAGAAATAGTGAATGAATATAGAATGAAAAAAATACCAAATTTTTTATTGGGTAGTATATGAGTAACTACTTGAGAATTATGAGATAATTATCTCTATTTTATCGGTCATATATATATTTTTGGAGGAGATCAAGTATCTTGATTTCCTAATATCTCGTAGAGTTGATTAGTACCTCGATCTCCTAATATATCAAAGAGTTGTCGAGTATTTCAAATAGTTATTATTGACCTAGTCCTTTGACTATATTGTTTGTGGTTTGGGTCCATTAGTTTGAAAGTCAAATATATTACAAGTGTACTATTTTATGAGGGTATTTAATGATACAAATTATACTTGTTTGCACAAAATTTTAAGCAAGATTTATATAAATTGAAATTAATACTTGAAAATAAATATTTATTCTAAAAAAACAAAATAATGTATGTTCTTGAAGCAATAAAATAGTTTAAATGTGTGATGTGGCGGGATAACCTTTACAAAAATAGTTTTATTTGTTCTTTTTCTATCGGCTCACTTTTGCATTTACTTGTTATTCAAATTTGCATAAAAAGTTATTGATATTAGAAGTATGTGTGTATATCCGTTCATTTCCGCATTTACTTGTCATATGAGTTTGCATAAAAATATATTATCGATAAATTATCTTCCATTGTTAGTTATTATGGTACACAAGTCTATGTCGTCATATTATTATTTTTTCATGTTAATTCTTGTATTTGTTAAGATGTAATTGTTACCAATGATTCAATTTCGATCTATTTGGTGAAATAATCTATAGCGAAGATGAAGAACTTGACTTGTCTTTAACAATGGAAAAAGGATCGAGTATGACTATTCTCTAAGTCGCAAAGGATCATGGTATTGTAATATTGTGTAGCTCTAAGTCGCAAAGGATCTTATTAAGAGTGGGTCATGTTGTTTGGCATGCCTCACAATTTTTAACAAACACCTTAGCACATGCCTTCATAGTAGACCAATAATATCCAACTTGGAGCATAAGTGCAACTATTGTTCGTGTTCTCGAATGTAGCTTGCATATGTTGTTATAGATTTTAGCCACGTATTGTGCTTGTTCTTCATAAAGAAACTTGAGGAATGGAGTCGAGTATCCTCTGTGGAATAGTTCATTATTATGTATCACGTATTGTACAAACATCCTTCTTGTTTTTAGTAATTCTTTTTTATCTTGTGGAAGTATATCGTGAATAAGGTATTGTATAATTGGAGTCATCCACTAGAGATGACAATTAAACTCATACCCTTGGAGACCGATCCGTTCTCGTCCTGAGTTGACACGGAAAAACCAAGTTGACCGGAAGCGGGGGTGGATTTGGGTTTCCCCGTTTTAAAAAGTCGGGGACGAGGGCGATGATGGGTAATGCAATCTTCACCTTAACCCTGCCTCCATCCCGCCCAGGTTTTATATTTAAATTTAAATTTTAAAATATTAATATTTAAAAAATATTTTATTTTCTTTTTCTATTACATATAAGGTCATTTTTTTATATTTCACAAATTTTACTTTTTTTCTACCCACTTTTTAATTCTTTTGTCTTTTTTAATCTTTTATATCAATTTGTTTATTACATTATTTTCTTTCTTTTACCTTTCAATTTTTCATATTTCCTTAATCTCTCTAATCAATTTGTTTTTTTTTCAATCTTTTCAACAAATTTGATGAACACAAAATTATTTTTTTTATCTTTTTCTAAATGTTTTACATAAATCTTTGTAGTAACTAATATTATTTTATTTATAATTTATATTTATTAGGTTTTATTATGTCATATTTTTTGGATCTTATTATTTTTATTTGTCATATATCAAATTTTATCTTAATGAAATAATTGTATTTTAAAGGATTAAAAAGAATTGATAATTTAAACTTTTATTACTTCAAACTAATTAAATAAGAATTAACTGATTAAATATTTCCTTATAAACTATATCTTTCATAGTTTTAAATGACAACTTAAAAATGAATTAACTTATACATATAATCAAATATTTAAACATAATATAATAATAATAATAATAATAATAATAATGTTATAAATATTCTATATATATAAATAAAAAATTATTAAATATTTATTTTAATATAAATATAATAAATTAAAATATATATTTAATTAATAATAATTACAAATTATAAAATTATAAATGTTTATTTATATATAAAAAATGCATAAATGTATAAAAATTAATTTATTATAAATATAAATATTTTTAAAAAAATAATATAAATTCGAGAGCGGGACGGGACGAGGGCGAAGAAACTCGAAACCTAGCGAGATGGGGATAAAGACTTAATTTTTAACCCGAGGATCGGGGACGGGGATGAGGACGGTTAAAAAAGTTGAGGCGGGGATCGGGGAAGCAAAACCCGCCCCACCTGGCTTATTGCCATACCTATCATCCACGTTGTCTTAACTATATTAACTTGAAAAAACATGATTGTGATCTTAGCTTGGAGAAGTTAATGTCTCTTGTATGAGTGTTTGGTGTTGCTTATGCTTTTTAGTACTAGATAACTTGGGCAATATATTCACATGTTCATTTTATTCCTTCAGCACATGAGTGATCTCTATCTTTTCAAACTCGCTCAGTAATTCCTTTGCTATGTGATAACGTTTTTGCTTTATCAATTCCTTAGTTCCGAATTCTCCTAGTACTTGTTCGGTGACGAACTTTAAATCACTTTGGCAACATAAATATTTCCCCCTTATTTCTTTAAGGTGTTTCAAATAAGTAAGGTTTCGTACCCATCCTGATTCTTGGGAGTTGGAAACTCAAATAAGAGGGTTTGCTTTAACATGACATCATTGGGCCTTTTGAGCAATATCTTTACTTCGTTTCCTTTTTTATTAGATGATTCATCTACAGTTAAGGTCCACCATTAATGTCTTTCTTCAAGTGGGGTATTAGGAAATCTGTGAGGAACAAGGCTTTCATCGAATCTCTACTTTCAAAATGCAAACCAAACTAAGAGAGTTTTATAGACCATGCTATCATCCATCCGAGCATTTTGGGTTTTTGTAACATTTCTTTAATTGAATAATTTGTTTTTACTATAACACCAAAACTTTGGAAATATGGATGTAACCTAAAAGTTGAATTGACTAACGTTAAGACCAAGTTCTTTATGAGGGAATAACGCTCCGGTGCTTGTAGTACTCGACTAGTGAAATAGGTCGAAGTTCGTTATTTGTCGCTACAATGTACAACAATCGAGCAAATAGTTGATTTTGTCACTACTAGGTAAAGATACAAAGTAGAACCTAGTGGAGGGATTATTAAAGTAGGTAAAGACATAATATCATTTTTTATGAGTTGAAACATATTTTCTCCTTCGTCCACTTAAAGGTTCGTGAGTTTTTCAACAACTTTAGCTTTCTCGACCAATTTAGGTAAGAAATGTGTCAATGAGGTAAATTTTCCATTTAACCACTATACATTCAAGGACTTTTCATGTCAAGAATAAACTTACACTTATGTGGATTTGCCTCAACGTCATGTTGTGTGATCATGAACCCTAAAAACTTCCCTTTATCCATGTTGAACAAACATTTTTTCGAGTTAAGACACATATTATATATCTTTACTTCATCAAACACATGTTGTAGGCGATTGGGGTGGTCGGCTTGGTGTTTTGACTTGATCATCATGTCACTTATATAAACTTTCATGATATCTCTTATAAGGTTATTAAAGATCCTATCCATTAGTTATTAGTAGGTGACACCAACATTTTTTTAATCCGAAAGACATTGTTTTATAACAATAATTCGTCGTCTTTTCCTCATTTGACTATATTCATATTTGGTTGTACTTGGAGTAAGCATATAAGAATTTGAGAATGTTTAAAGCAGATGTGTTATCGACAAGTTGATCTATACTTGACAACGAGTATAAATCTTTTGAACATGTTTTATTGAAGTCCATGTAGTTAGTACACATCCTCCATTTTTCATTTGTTTTTTTTAACAAACACTACATTAACTAACCATGTAATATGTGTTTGTTGCATTATTGACAAGCGTACCAAAATTATCAATGACAATATAGTATTTCGATTAAATAAAAGTCAATCCCACGAGGAATGGTTTCAATGGAAATTCTCAATTATATGCTTACTAAGTGGATTAAAGCAAAATATGTTGTTCATTAAGAGTTGCAATGAAAATAAAATGACAGAATAGTAAATTGTTTAGAAAATATCAATTAAAAACACTTAGGATTAGTTTCCTTCATTTTCCCTCTTTTGCAATGACTAGGTCAAATTAAGAACATCAATTAACCTAACAATGTTGATGCCAGCTACTCAAATCATCCATGTTGATTCCTCACACATGAAATTCATAAGAAAACCTAATAAATATTGATTCCTCACACACTTAAGAGATTATCCAGCATTAGGTTCATTCCTGACAATTAGCGTAACAAATATTCTTATCATGATCTAGGGTTTAAGATATATTTTCCAATCATACCTCAAACATCAAGAATAAACATTCAGAAGCATAAGGATAAAAATAACAATATGAAAACATAGATTAATATCTCAAAATATTGTCAAGATACAAAAGAGTTCAAAGGAAGTGCACTCAATCCCAAGAGAATGAAGTTAACCACTCATGATGGCCATTATAATGCTCTAATTGATGAAGAAATGAAGAATTAATGAAGATTGGACGAAACCCTAACAGTAGTCGCGCCTCCTCTCCCAAAACCTAACTTCCTTTCTCAAAACACAACTTCTCTTTATATAGAAAAAATTTGGGTCGAGACTTTCGCTCAAGCGAATGTTCCTGATTTTCACTAAAGCAAGAAAACGCTCGCTTAAGCGAATGACTTTCAGAGAGTTTTAACTGATTTTCGCTCAAGCGAGAGTCTATCTCACTCGAGCGACTTCCATGCTGAAAATATTCTTCCTCCTTTCAATTTTTACTTCAATTATGTTGACAATTATGCTTCGTGCTCTTGTATCAAGTTATTCTCGAATTCATCCTACATTGGGAGAAAAATAGATTAGAATTGAAGTGATTTCATAACAATTCAAAGCATAATTATATCAATTTTTACCACTTAACAATGTTACTTCTCGAATGAAATTGACTTATAATAACTTGTCGGCTTCTTGGTTTATAGCTCATATTCTCTTTTAACCTAACTTACATTTTCGTTGGCTTATAGGTGTAGTCTCAACTAAAATTGATTATTTATGTGTTATTATGTTAGGGTCAATTCTTGACATGTCATTCATACAAATAGATCGACATTTGTATGCAAGACTTATTTAATTTGTTTGTGGGTGACATTATTTATTGTGTGATTGGTGTGTGTGACCTGAGTTATATCTTCTTCGATTTTGAAATTCGATATCTCATTGTCAAAGGTAGGTCATGTTTCCTTTGCCTTTATTCGTGGATCAAACTCAACTTGCACCACATTGTTTTGTTGATGAGAATGTGTTTGGATGACTTCTTTTTCTTAGAGGGTTGTGAGGGTGGCATGCATCTTTGAGTTTGTCTACGATTGCACTTTGACAGTGTATGCCTTGAGGTTGTCGATAATGGCAACTGGTTCCATTTGTGGAGAGAGCTTGACTGCTTCGTCTATCCTGTAGGTAATAGTGGTGTGGGAGAAATTTTACCTTATCCCATATAAGTGTCATATGTTCTTGCTTAGATTTAGAGAACTAATTAAGCTTTTTGAGGTAGCTTTTGAGTTTTACATAGTAGCTTTCTAGTTGTTTCTAATTTATACTAGGAAGGAAGAGTCATATGCAAAAACTCTTTAATGCTTAAGTCAACAAATATATGAGTAAATAATGAGAAATAATAAATAAGTGTGCCATGAAAAGATTTTAAACCTTTTATAGAATTATATCTCAATAATTATCTAAGAATCATAAAATATTTATTTCTATTATATCGTTTATATATCTACTTAAAAGATTAAATATATTGATATCCTAATATCTCAAAATGTTATTATTATTATTATTATATATATATATATATATATAATTAAAAATAAATATTAATTTAAACTTAACCTTTATGTATATTTTACTTAAATACTATATATCTTTTATATATGTTGTTAATATAAGATTTTAACATAAAATTAATACAATGAAGAGTATAATCATTCCATCTTTGTTTACATAAAGGAGTGTATATTTTGCTTATATGTTATATATTTTTTATATATGTTGTTAATATAAGACTTAAGATAAAAAATCCTGTTGAAGAGTATAATCATAATCATTTAAAATCCGAATAGTGTACGACTTTATATATTTTGGAGATCTTTATTGATAGTTTTAAATAGTTTATTTTTATTTCTTCCATTAAAAGTACTTAATTGATTGATTGTCTTTTGTTGCAATCACGATTTTCTGTCATAATTTGAATGCCTAGAGATTTTTTGTTTTAAAGAAGCTTCGTACTTGTTCTACATTTTCCTTATTTTTATGTTTGGTAATGTAATTATTCCTACTTTCAAATTTTTTTCGCCTACATTATTTCGTGTAACAATAACTTGGAGAAGGTAACATTCTGGTTTTTTTGAAAATAATGAATTTTTTTATAAACGGAATAAAGAGTCTATCCTTCTAAATATTTTCTAATTTACTTTCCATTTTGAACATATATCATTGCTTTTACTGATAATAAGGTTGTTTAAGGGATGTTAGTGAGTGGTTATGTTGAAAATTCAAGAAATATTTATTATGTTGAATTTGAATTTGAAAATTTGGATTATGTGTTCCAATTCTTATAAAGTTTTGAAATAGAAACTGGTTCTGACACATTCCTATGCATCCATAAAAAAATGTCCGAGTGATAGATAAATATTGATGTGGTAGATACAACAGTATAACAGTATAATACCACTTCCTCTACTCCTAGTCACATTACAAAGAATCTTGTTCATAAATAAATAAACTACAATAAAATACACAAATAAGACAAATGATGAATGTTAGAGATTGTTCATCTAAACCTCCTTTTTGTTTCCCCATATGCAGCTACTCCCATCACAGTAATTGTATACCCCCCCATGCCAACTACAGTCACAGGGTTTCTGAATAGCAGTATTGAGATTACAACAGCCACTGCGCCTTTTGCATTGCCTAACACCTGGTTACCATGATTTTACAGGGAAACTCAGTATATGAATTTCATAAAATAACAAACCAAGTTTGGTCCTATTCAGTTTTTCATTGATGGGTTTAATGGTTAAATAACTTTGGTCTTCTTCTTTTAGCTTTTAACTAACCATGTTTCATAATTTGTAGTAGTGGCAAAGAGGCAAACCTGGAGTGTGAGAGCACTGGTATGTTTAGTCACCAAGAAGTTTGTTAAGTTTGCTGCATATGCTGTGATAGAGTTAAGCAAAAGAAGAAGCCACATAGACTTGTGGTCCTTTGCAAGCGTCAGTGTGACATCTACCACATTAGGTTCCATGATAAGAGCTGCAGGTAACAAAACTAGGACTGCGATTGGAGACATGTACAGGAGCAAATTCATGGAGTTCAACTTTTCCCTGTTATGTTGAAGTGGATGCAACATCATAAGTATTTGTATAACATAATGCATAGAGAATAGGAACTTCCACTGGTTAAATAAACCTCTGAAAAGTTTCAATAGAGAACCAGAGAACCACCTCCACTATTTAGTTGTAGCATGTTTAAGAAGGGCTTGCCCAATAAATTTCAATATGAACATTAAAAGGAAACTCACCAACATTACGTTTAAGCATGAAACATCAGGTATTATATCCATTTTCTTTTTCAATTGTATAATGAAAAGAAACAAAAATAGAGAGAAAAGAAAAGCATGCTTCTCAGGCCCGTAGCAATGTTCTACCAGCCTGTTTTTCATGGATCAAGTAACAATGAGAGAGTCTGGTTGGAAACAAAGATAGTAAGAGCTTCTCTACTAGAAAAAGCTCTATATTTCCATTAGATTAGCTCAAACAGCTCTTTTATCTTGTATCAAAACATGCTTAATTAAACAAGTTGGAAAAGAGTGTCATCTTTTACCAAATCCATTTTGGTACCAGCAAGTGTAGTTTGCAGAAAAAAGTGAATTTGAAAGGTTCTTTTTTTTCTCACATATCAGAAATGAGATTAAAGGGACTGGATAGCTACTTTCTAGTGTTAAAATTGAGCAAGCAATATCAGCTACACAATTTAATTGAACAGTTACAAACCAACAATAACTATAAGGAACTGAAGGATAAATACTGGCCATTAAAGCAATATTATAACATGTTCCTGAATCAACAACTCACATAACTGAATATTTTCAGCAAATATGATTTAGGTACTTATCACTCCACATCCTTCGCTAATTATCAATCATTAGTTACAAATACCTTGATTGATTTCTGTTTATCTGTGACAACACCAATTACACTGCCAGATTTTTTATTCAAAAAAATATATTATTGTATGACATCATATCTTCCACACACAGTAAGTTAACAACTTCCTAACAAATCCTTCAATGATTGTTTTCCAAGAAAAGTAAGTTTAGACCGCCAGCTCCAAATTAATGCACAAATTCTGGTTTCAAATAAGCAAGGTGAAGGAACCATTCTGTTTGCAGATTTCAGTAATCTTAGATATAATTTTTCAGCTGGATAGCTGTTGAAATTAGATGAAAAAGAGAAAGATAAAAATACTAGATATGGAGCAGAATATTTTTACCCTTCTGAAGAAAGTAAAAGGCCCTGAAGGACAGACTTGAAAGCTCTTGCAGCGGTTGCACTTAGGCACATAACGAATCCAAATAAGTGAAACCCTGGTTCACCCTGTAATCACCAACAAAAACCTTATAGCTCCACAGAAGCAAAATGAATAAAGATGAAAAACAGAAAGGAAAATATGCACCTCGCAGGTCCAAAGAAACTACTATTACTAGCCATTCATAACAAATTAACAAACAATGTTGGTGTGCAATACACAGAATGCCATGACAGTTGATAAGCAGATAACAACAAAGAGCCCAATTCATGACAAGCTTTAGAGATGCCATCGTAATCATATAGATAATCTGATTAGATGAAACAAAATTATTAGTCAGTAGCTTTAATGCTAATAAACATTTGGCTATCTGATATAAGCTAATAAACTAGAACGGTGCTGATCCAAGAAGAAGAAAGAAGAAGACACAGAGAATAGTGTCAAGAAGTACCATTTTCCCAGTGTACTGAAATTTCACCACATATTTCATGTTAGAAAGAAGAAACAGGAAAAGGAAAAGAAAAATGAAAAAAAAGGCTCCAATTGTCATTGATTTGCAGTTCTTGGAATTTTGAGATCTCATTAACTTCCAATCACGGTAGAATTCACGGGTAACATTCAACCACAGCCTAATCTGTCCAACATCAGTTCAGATCTGGAGTGGCACATGAAACATGATGCAGAATTGACATGTCTCCATAGTTACACAAACACCCTTGACACGTAAATACGAATCTGTCAAGACCCTATCCTAATCTCAAAAGGAGACACACATACACACACTCATGATCATTCACAACATTCACATACAACAAATCAATAGAAATGACTGAGATTAAAGAGAACCGAACATACCCCACTAGCAATGACAACCCCAGCAACAACAGGAACAAGGGCAGCATAGGTAACCCAAGCCTCTCTCTTAAGGGTGGCCAAATAGGCAAAGACAGCGGTGAAAAAGGGTGTGGTTGCCCCAACCGCCTGGTTGAAGGACACGGCGAGGTACCTGAGGGAGATGTTGCCACCCACCACAGAGGCACAGAAGACAAGGCTCAAAGTTGCAATCTTCATGAACTGAGACCTTGATTTGATCATCTGCTGAGGCACCACCTTGAAGAACACAATGGAGACATAGCTGAGAACAGCACAGGCTGACATGTGGCACATTGTGAGGAAGATGGGGAACTTGAACCCATAGTTTGAAAGCAAGTACTTGTTCAGAAGGATCACACCAATATTTGAAGAGTACCAAAGTGTCACCAGAAAACATATGAACAGATTCTCCTTGCTGTTGGTGGACATTGTCTTCCCACTCTTCCCTCCACCCCCTCCTCCCTGGTTTTCCAATTTTTCCCAATATCAACAACCTCTATCATTACATTCTCATATTCAAAACAATAATAATAATAAAAAAAAAATAATAATAATAAAATGAACTTTCTTATCTATTTACTATCTTTTTGTGCTTTTCTTTATATATTGACTTACCCCACTTTCTTTCACTGTGGCCTTCGCTTCATTTTCAAAGGAGGCTTTGGATCTCATGCTGTAAGAACCATGTGTGCTCATTGAAACTTTTTGTTGGTATGTTGGTTGTGAATGGGACACACCCTGCTTTTGTTTTGTTTTGTGGACTAACAACAACGATGGGTCTCAAATTTTAATTGCTCTCTGCCATCCCATTCAGCATTGGTGACCATGAACGTTGGTTGAAAGCTTGTGGAACATAATTGAATGGGATCTTGTTGACGATATTGCTAATGATGTTCTACCAAATTAGAGAGGAAAGGGCATTTATAGAAAGGTTTTTGTTTGACATTTTCAAGGAACCACCCAACAATGTTATGCCTCAAAGGGCTATTAACACTCTCTCTCTTAACCGGTCATTTTTTCTCACATTTTACACTCTAATTATACCTTCCAACAAAACTTTTTCCACCATTTCATCATATTTGGTAGTGAATTCCGCTTGCTTTTCTCATAATAATAATAAATCAAAATGTGGGTTAATTAATTTCATGCACAATCACTGCCTTACTCATCAAAGATTTCCTTTTAAAAATAATCAAATTTCTGAACTACTCTCCAAACTTCTATCATGAACGATGTTATACTGAATTTCCATGTAAAGAAAATTGTAGCAGAATTTGTGTAATTTTGCAAAATCTGAAATACAATTATTATTAAATTAATAAAATTATCATGCTAATATCTGATGGGTTGGTAAAATATTAAACTTTTTCAACATTTTAATTAAATTTGATAAAATTTATTTTAATTACAACATCATCATATCATGGTCCTTGCACCACCCAATTCCCGCCCCTTAATGTTAGAATAGGAGTCACTTGTTCCTGAATTTTAGGTAATTTTGGTTTATATGTTTGTAAGCTAATAATAACAACATATTTATTTAATAAAAAAAGCAAAATAGAAAAAGAAAAAAACTTAACACGTTACGTTAATATTTAAAGTTTTATTGTGATAAATATCAATATATTTAATAAAATAGAAACTACTTATTTAAACTCTAGAAAAAAAAACGTAAAAGAAACCGTAATTATGCTAATACACGTAAGTTTTTTCCATAAATAAAATATTATTTTATGAAGAAACAAAATAAGTTGTGATGCGACTTAGAGGAGCGGTGTCAAAGCGACACGTTGGGAACAAAACGACAAAAATGTGGACACGTGTCGTATGATCTCATCTTTCTTTGATTTGTGTTTGAAACGCAAAGTCTTGGTTGGACGTACTATAAAAACGAGTCTCCACCGACACTCATGCTAAGGGATTATTACTATGAATTTTTTCTTCCAATAAATAATAAATGAGTTTAGAAATTCAATTTTTTATTATTATCTTATAATTATTTTTCAATATGCAAAAGTTAATTTTTTTTTATATATTAAAATCTACATATTTCTTTTTTAAAGCTGTGAGTGTTTGCTCTTCTTATATTGACTTTTATGCTTTTTTTTTATGAATAAAATATAACATTTTACTTCACTTTCTAATTCTTTTGCTAAATTTTTGTTAACTTTCCTTTCAAAAAAATGAACTTGACTTAACCACTTTTATTTATTTATTTTTATCTTAAAAAAGATAATTGCATAAAAAATATTTTAAACACAAATATGAATAGTACATTCTATAGTACAATTTTAAAGAAATTGATAAAAAGAACTATACATATTATTTGTACATTCAATTGTATAAAATATAAAATAAAAGAATATGTTATTTAAAAAATACTAAATATAGTAAATTCTAAAAATTTAAAAAATTGCGATTTTTCTCGTTGCTCTTAACTTGTTATTTGATTTTAAAATGTTTGGTATAATGCAGGTAAGCTACAAAAATTAACCGAATAGTGAAGAAAAATAAATTAATGAAAGGAACAAAATTGATAAAAATATGTAAATATAAAGTGATATTTTTCTCGTATAATGTTGATTATTATATTTTTATAAAAAAAATAATTTGTTTGTATTAATTCTACCAAATATTGTATTTATTAAGTATAACATAAATATTAAATTTAACCAACTTAATGAGAACATATGTATAGTAAATATACAGTTGTTGAGCATAAAGACTTATTAATAAATAAAATTTAATTATTAGAAATTATAATCACCTTTTATGTCACCCTCACATCAGCCTTATCTTCTTTGTCCATTATTATAACAAATATTCTTATCCCAATTCTTACCCTTACTTCCATCAATCATATATTGTTTTTAATTTTGATCAAAGTGATGTGGTTTGTTGCTTTTGTGTTCTCAATTATAATTTTATAACAGCCACTTCCCTTGTTTGTGTGTGGATTTCAAGTATACATGTTTATGCAAGTTATTTGGAACTTCTATATGCGTAACAAGACATGAATGTTGACTTTACTAGGAAAACAAATTGTGAATTATTGAGTTTGGAAATATATTCATACCTTAGTGTTCTTTAAGTAATGTTGTTAGTATTTTTTTTATATTAAATTATTAGATTTTGTAAGATATTTATTTTTACTTAATTGCATTTCTCTCGTAATATAATTACTGTCGTATTTTTTTACTTCATATTTTTATTTATTTATATGTATTTATTTTAGTAGAAAAAATATGAAAATTCTTATAACTATTTTAAAATTAGGAAAAATTGTTATATTTTTTTATATTTAAAAAAAACTTAAACAATATAATAACCCAAAATATACATATCATAAATATATATTTTACATGCACAAAATACTAAAATTAAAAATATATAAAATATATATATATATATGGTATATTTTATAAAATAAAATAATAAATTATTATACATGATTCCCAACTTACTTCCTATATAAACAAATGCTTAACACAATTTAAAATAATATGACAAAAATATTTACAGTACACTAGTGTATAAAATTTAAATATGTTATAAAACGATATAGTTTATAATTTTAATATTTTTAAATCACATCACACTCGTACATGTATCATGTCTCTTTAAACTTATAGATTTTGTACCTATCATACCACGATTTCCCAAATATTCAACATGAGGTACTCTTAATGGTATATATATATATATATATATATATATATATATATATATATATATATATATATATATATATACTTTCATATGACCATGATAAATTTTTATGACCTATTAGATCCAAATCTTATCACACTAGGATCTAAGTCTTGGAAACATCATTCAACTTTGATCACTTAATCCATTCATCTATGTAATTCTAATGATAAGATAACATAATATTTTTTAATGTACATATTAATTTTCAAAACACCTTATTTCACATTCATAATACATATTCTCACATCTTAAGTCATATACATACCAAATAAATCAAAAAAATTACCCAATAATTTCAATTTGGGATTCAATAAAGAAAAAATGTCAAGCCTATGTAAAATGTGCATATCTTCAAACCTTGAGGAGAGATTTTAATTTTACGGATAAAAGATGGATAATTTGTTACTAGCTTCTTTGGAGGACTATGGAGATTGCAAACAAAATGTTGCCATGGAGAAAGAAGTAAAGATGTTACTATTATAGGAAAATTTCTATATTCCATGAGACGTGAATTTAACTATTTTGTTTGCTCAATTGAGTATATTGTTTGCTCCATTAAGGAGTAAAAAAACATAGATACCCTTTCTCTTGATGAATTGTATAGTTTGGTGTTGGTTTCTGAGCATAAAATGAACCAAAATTCAACCACAAATGAATAAGGTTTGAAAGTTTCCTCAAATATCCAATTCAATAACTCATGAGGAAGGGGTAGAGTTCGAGGAAGAGGAAAAGGAAAGGGAGATGGAGATGGGGAAAGAGGAATAGGAGATAGAGGAACGGAGATGAAGGATGTAAAGAGGAAAACAAACATTTTAAAAGTAATAATAATCAATTTTATAATAGAATATTTTAGTTGTCATAAATATGATCATTATGCTTCTGAATATTATACTTTACTATCTAATGATAAAGAAAAAGGGGCAAACTCACATTTATGGAAAAAGTGAAAGAAGAAGAAACTTTGTTGATGGTTGTCCAAGAAGAAAACAAAATGGACTTAGAAATTTGGTATGTTGATATAGGATGCAATAATCACATGAGTGAGTGTAAATCTTTCTCTTATTTAAATAAGGTTTTTCACTCAATTGTTAGTTTTGGAGATTTCTCTTCTATAAAAGTGAGGAGTAAAGGTGATATTAAAATTAAAACTAAGAATGGTTTTATGAAAACAAAATCTAATGTAATGTACATTCCTGATTCAAAAAGTAACTTGTTGAGTGCTAGTCAATTATAAGAAAATGGTTATAACATTAATATTAAACAAGGTGCTTGTGAAATATATATTGGTAGCTAAAATCAAAGATTTATCATGATTATGACATTTTTGTTATGCCCATTTGAGTTTTGGAGTATTAAAACTTCTCAATCAAAAGAGAATGATTATAGGACTCCCTCAAATTCAAGATTCTTCTCAAGTGTGTGAGGATTGTGTTGTTAGTAAACAACATTGTTCTCAATTTCCTAATAACAAGTTATGGAGAGCAAATGATATGTTAGATAGAGTTAGCACACATAGATATTAGCGATCCAATAAATCCATCTTCTAACGAAGGTAAAAGTTATTTCATTACCTACACCAATTATTTTTCAAGGAAAACTTAGGTCAAGTTTTTATAAGTTAAATCTAAAACATTATCTGCATTCAAGATTTTTAAAAGTCAAGTTGAAAACAAGGTTAGAAAAAACATTAAAATCTTTCTCATTGATTCTATGGTGAGTATTATTAAAAAAATTGATTTTTTTTATGCAAAGCATGAAATACAAAAAGAACTCATAACAACCTATATGCCACAACAAAACAGTGTATCTGAAACGAAGAACATGAAAATTTTGAATATGGTGACGAGGTTATTAACTCAAGGGAAAATTTTAACGAAATTTTAGCTTGAAGTAGTAAATTAATAGAAGTCTAACTTTTACTGTTCAAAAATATGATACCAGAAGAAGTATGAAGTAGGAGAAAACCAGACATTGAGTAATTTAAA